TCGTGCTTGCTATGCAGGTGGCCTTCTACTTGGGCCAGGCCTCCAGTGCTTTTTTGCTTTTATTTTTCAGGTAAAGTCTCCCATTTTTATATGTGGTCAGCCTCAGACTGTGACCCTTCTACTTAAGCCTTCCATGTAGCTGGGATCATAGACATTTACTACCATTCCTGGCCCATTTTCTATTTTGTTTTTGGGGTTTTTTTTTAGTTTTTTAGTGATACTGGGGTTTGAACTCAGCTTTTTGCTTTCTAGGCAGGTGCTCTCCCACTTGAGCCACTCTACCTGTCCCTCTTTGGTTCTAGAGTTTGTCATCATCCTTAGTTCTAAATCTTTATTGGTTTCTTCTTTTTAAAAAATTTTTTTATTACTGCTGTTGTTTATTATTATTCATTTATTCACATGTGCGTACATTGTTTGGGTCATTTCTCCCCCTGTCCCCCATTTCCACCCTCTCCCCCCTATTGGTTTTTTCTAAAATACTTGAATTTTTACTTTGTGTCTAAGGTCTTACGCAATGCTAGAGGGCTAAAGAAAATTGCGACGATTCATATTTGAAAAGTATGTTGAGCAAATGTTTCTCAAAAGTCTACACCACATGGACCTCCTGCCACTTCCCCACTCAAGAATTACAGATGAGGGGAAGTTGGATTCCAGCTTGTACACGTGCTTTCTAGAAAAGATCTTACTCAGTACAGCTTCCTATAGTTTGTACAGTAAAAACAACTGTTATCTTGTTTTGTTTTTACATATTTAATTAAAATATACCAGAGTTACTCTCCTTTCCAAAATTTGTACTAATTGGCACTAATGCTTGCCCCCAGAGTCTGATATGGTATGCAGGTCACAAAACAAAAGTATTATAACAAGTACATGAATAAAAATATCTTTCATTTATTGCTGGTCGTCATGGTAGCTTCATTTAGAGAATGACGTGCTGGGTATATTGGTGCATATTAAGTGCGTACATATATGATCTTACTTAATTTTTCACACTTACCCATTTAGAAGACATGAAATATGAGCCTGAGCAAACTGAAGTTAGTTCCTAAGATCATGAGGCCAGTCAGTATCAAAGTGCGAATTGGAGCCATTTTTTGTGTGCCTTGAAGTTTGTGCCCCTAAGACAGGGTTATTACAACAAACTTACAAGGCAGCTGGTAAGCAGAGAAGCACCTTTTAAAAAAAGACATTTTCATAAAATGACTTTCAATGACTAACATATTTTGTAGGCAGACCCTGTGAAAGATAACCTATAAAGGATACTGACTATAGGTTAGGTGTTCTTTAGAAACTACACAAGGAGTTGAAGGGAAGAGGACCATTAAGGAAAACTGGACGATTGCCGAGACAAACGTAATTAATTTTATTTTTTTTTCCTTTTTCTTTTATTATTCATATGTACATACAAGGCTTGGTTCATTTCTCCCCCCTGCCCCCCGTAATTAATTTTATAATCTGCCTGTGGTGAGCACAATATTCAAAGGAGAAAAACCAATAAGCAGCACAGAGAAACATGCTTCAATAAGAAAAACATTTTTAATTTGCAATTCATGTTACTGTAAAAGGATTAGGGTCTTTAATATTTATATAGAGCACTTCCAAATCAATAGAAAAACTGAAAAGTACAAGATAAGACAATTCATGACTGAGGAACATGTACGGCCAGATTGCCCATGGAAAAAGTAATTAATTTTCCTCCTGAGGAATTTCAAAATTGGACAATAGAATGTGGTACATATTTGGACTCCCAAATTGACGAATATTGAAAAGAATAGTGACAATAATGATGAAACAATAAAAAAGAAATGAAAATGTACAATGTGATTGCAGAGGAGGGAAATAGATGCGCTGGCAGGAGGCGGGAGAACTAAGCTATGAGGTAATCCCATTGGCCTAGAACTAAATATGCATTTAAGTGGAAATATTCCAAGTGAAAAATAATGATGCAGGCCACAGAATATATATTGAGCACCATATCATTTTACTAAATAAGTTTAATTAATTTATATGTAATTCTAAGTTATAATTGCCCACATATTTATAATTACATATAAATCTGAAGACATTTACATCAACCCGGTGGCTGGAATTACCTAAGGCTATTGATGTTGGGATCTGGGTGAGCCTCCACCCTCTGGTCTCTTTATTTTCCAGAGTTTCATGGAAAAACCTGAATTGCTTACGCACATAAGCAAAATCAAGACTTAAGATAAAAGAAGTAATATTGGAGATAAAACTATGAACCCTGGAGTCAGATGAGTCCAGAGTACACATGACCTTAGATAAATTATTTATTTTTTTGGGCAGTACTGGGGTTTGAACTTAGGGCCTTGCCCTCAGTCCTGTAATTCCTTAAAATTTTTAATGCTGTTTTCCTTATCTGTGATAGTGGTAATAGGGCTTACCTCAATGGGTTTTGTGAAGATTAAATTAGATAATGGATATAACCTACCACTTGCACTTACCAGTCAACCAAGTAAGTACCGAATTCCTACTCCTGTGTTACAAAGGAGGACAAGGTACTTGGGGGGAGTTTAGAGATGTGTGAAACTGCCCCCTGCTCTGCAGAAAGTTAAATCCACCCAGACACAGCTGTCACTAGCGCAAATGAGAACACAACAAGCAAAGCGGTTCCCATCTCCATGACATGAAAGGGAATTCTCAAACACACCCACTTTAAGGGCATTAAATGCCTAGTAAGCTAATTTGCTCCTTAATAAAAGGTAACCTAAAAGGGGGGGTTTTAGGATATGTGAAATATATCTCAATGAGGATGTTAGAGTAATCATTTTAGTATGCGTCATTTAGCTGGAAGAAATAGTATTAAGAGGGATGGTGGAGTGGCTCAAGTGGCAGAGTGCCTGCCTAGCAAGTGTGAGGCCCTGAGTTCAAACCCCTATACTGCCAAATAAAGAAAAAAAAAAAAAGGAAAAAGAAATAGTATCAAGAATATTTTTAATACAAAATATACCGATAACAGTGCAGAAACTGACATTATATGGAAAATGTTCTAAGCTAGTTGATTTGAGCCATATGAAATTAAATCTGGTTCATAAAGTTATTGAATTGCTTGGAGATTCATCTTTCATGTGCAATTAAGAAAATGATGCTCACATAGGATTTGTGAATATTAAATACTATGACTAAAATAATGAATCCCTTAATTTTTCTTATAAACTATTGGGAGAAAAAGAACTTTATTTGTTTGGGGGAAGAAAGAAGGCAGTAGTTTCTTTTTTTTTTTCCTTTTTTTTTTTTTGGCAGAACTGGGGTTTGAACTTAGGGCTTCATGCTTGCTAGGCAGGTATTCTACTACTTGAGCCACTCTACTGGCCCTTTTTTGTGTTGGGTATTTTTGAGATAGGGTCTTAAGAACTATTTGCCCGGGGTGGGCTTCAAACCTCAATCCTCCTGATCTCTGCCTCCTGAGTAGCTAGGATGACAGATGTGAACCACCAGCACCTGGCTCAAATTATGACAAGTAAGAAAGAAAGAAGGAAAGAAAGAATCAACAACAAAGAAAATCCCTGGTCTTGTGGTTTACATTGCAGTGGGGGAAGACAGATGAAGAAGTAAATTTTAGATGAGAGAAATAAATAGAAATAAGGAAGGGCAAGGGACAGAGAGATGAAGGCTGGCATTTAGGTTGGGCCAAGCAATACCCCTTTGAGGTATTGGCATGCAAGTGGAGGCCTGAATGAAATGAGACACTTAGAAAGCAGCCCATGTGACTATTTGAGGAAAGACCTCCCCAGGCACAGGACTGCAAGTGCAAAGGCCGAGCTGGAGCAGAGTGACCCAGGAGAGGGTTGGTGGTAGATGAGGTGACAGAATGCTTGCCTGAGTGGTGACAGACCTTGTGGCTTTTTTCTCTGAAGAAGGGAGACCAGTGTGAGACTATTGCAATGATAAAGGTGAGGATGGCAGTGGAGGGCATTGGCTGGACATTGGACACATTTTGAAAACAGAACTGACACGATTTACTGATGGGCTGGATGTAGGGGTGAGAGACTGGGTGTGAGGAGTATTTGTGTCAATGTGTCAGTTAATTAATTTTGGAGGCAGAGTCTGGGAGCCTGCAAAGTCCTCTTCAGGCAGGGTTCTGGTGCGTACAAACCATTTGACCTTGGTTAAGTCAGTAGTGCTAAATACCTGACAACTAAGAATAACATGAAATCAACCTTGGCTCCTCTGCCAGGCTGATCTTGTCTGAGAGAGGCTGCCAAGCTAAACAGTGGTTATGGGAAAGGACAAATGTCCTTTGTTGTGATCCATTTCCAGTTTGGTAAGAACAAGAGCTCAACTCAAAGGTGTAAGAACAGAATTTGTCAAGCCTTAGGAAGTTTCAGGGCTGACAGTATGTGTAGGACCCAGCTTTAAATTCTCCCTAGATTTTGGGGTTGGTGGAGTGGCTCAAGTGCTGGAGAGCCTGCCTAGTAAGTGTGAAGCCCTGAGTTCAAACCCCAGTACCAAAAAAAGAAGAAGGAAGAAGAAGAAAAACCCTAGGTTTTTCCATTTCTCTCTCATTTTCCACCCTCTTCTTGCTCCAAGTTCTTGACTGCAGGAAGATACAGATTCCCAAATTTCAGCAGACACCGGACTTCCCAGGAGGGCTTTTGAAAACACCAATTATTGGGCGTCACTCCCAGAGTTTCTACTTGGGATGATTGTGTGTATGTATGTATGTATGTATGTGTGTGAGTGTCAGTGTGTGTGTGTAAAGGGAGGAGAGGCAGGGAGCGAGCTTTTCCATTTTCTAGCAGGTTCTCAGGTGCTTCTTGAACAGAAGGGCGTACAAGGACCAGCTGATGGGCTGGGGCTAGGGGATGGGGGTGGGGTGCATGGTTCCAGCTCCCAGAGGTTCGCAGTTCCTGGGAAACGATTCACTTCCTCCAGGATGTTTCTCGGCTGCCCCCAAACTGCTGAGAAGGCCAAGTCGTCGAAGAGGAGGAGCGGGAGGTCTAGGTTAGCCAGTGCAGAGGCGAGGCGAGGCGAGGCGAGGGCGGGAGGCCAGCCCCTGGCCAGCCCACAGATCCCCGCAGGGCGCGGACCTGGAGGAGGCGCCCCAGAAGGCGACGCCTCTCGAGGAAGTTTGCCCTTAATTACGGAGCCGGGTCCCCGTCGCATCAAAGCTTCAGGAGCCAGCACTGTGCAGAGTAACCAGGGGATCCCGGAGTACTCACACCGCGGCCATGGGCGGCTCGGCTTCCAGCCAGCTGGATGAGAGCAAGTGCGCCTACATCCGAGGTAAGCGGGGTCCGCGGGCTTCCGGCACCCAGGGACCCCCGCGGGCGCGTGGATGAGCCGGGCCGCCGCGCGCCCCACTCCCCGTCTGCGGCGCGGGGCCAGGACCGCGGGTGCGCACCAGCTGCCCGGAGCCAGGCGCGGGTGGGAAGCTGGGGATGGTCTGGGGACACGCAGGTGCGGGACTCAGGGAGCGACGACTTGGGCTCCCCTGCCCCACCTGCCCCCCTGTCGTCGTCGGCGGTGTTGGTTCTGTCCCCGCCCGGAAACACCTCGCCTTTGGTGATCTGATGCTGCGCTCAAGTTCTAAGCGGTTTCTGAACTTGACCTCCAAGAGAGCAGCGGGGATCTCCCTGGTTTGCAGAGATTTCCCTGGGGATTCCTGGCCTCCAAAGCAGAATTTCCCCCCCTTGTAAGGTTGACTTGACTTTATAAAGCTCTGTATCCGCCGCGGCTTATTTCAGGTCCCTTGAGGGATGATTTCATCAGAAGCAGAAAGGACAATGTCATTACGTTCCCAGGTTGTATGGTTCCCTTCCTTACCCAGAGAGTGGGGAAAGCAAAAGAGGAACCTTGGCAGTTTTGTAACCGTTGCTGAAGTTGTAGATGGATAGAAACTCATTTGAGGAGATCGTCGGAGATACAGCGACTCAGTGAGAGAGACAGGCAGTAGAAAACAAAAACCAAACCCAGCTGAAACTGCAGGAAGTCAGTCACTCTCTCTCCCGGGTGTACACCCCCACCTCAACCACTACCAGCATTTGGTTGCCTGTGAATTTGGTGTGGTTCTCCTCTTCCCCCCTTCAGAAATCCTTTTTACACTAGGTATTAAACTCTACGTTTTATCCTAACGCCTTGAAAGAAAATAGTTATGCTTTTCCTATTACCTCTTTCTGGACCTTGAATGTTTTCTTAGGAGGGCATTTAAGACCATTTGAACTGGATATGAGATCAGGGCACTTGAAGTCACTGTACTGTAAGTGATTCGCCAGAGTCCTGCTCTGCTGTTTGGGAGGTAGAAGACCATCTATAATGCATACCCGTAGGGGATAAAACTTGGTCACATGTCCTCTGCAGTGGTTTATTAAAAGGGGAAAAGATGGATGTCTGATCAAGCAAGACTAAGCCCACCTTCCTCTTAAAAACTTGGCTGTGTGCTTGTTTTCACCAGGGCGCTGGCCTGGGAGAAGGAGCACACCGTGGTAAGAAAGGGCTTGCTTTTGGTTGCTAGCAAAATTTTGTTTACGGTATTTATAAAAGTTTGTTTCTCTAGAAAGTTTAGAAGTGGCTGAGATGGAAGCAAATCCACCTTCTGCAATCTTCTGAAGTCCAGCAATGTGACAGACTCATGTGATTGTTTGAAGACCTCAAGGTCATAAGATCTGTACCCATAAGAGAATGTATTGCCTTCTTTATTCCAAAACTAAATTACTACATATACAACAGTACAAAAAAGACAAGGCACAGGAAGGACTTGTAATAGCTAGAAGGAGTAAAACTATAGTAAGTCGCAGAACAGTTATTCTATGTCCTAGACTTACCCAATTTGATCTCCTCTTTCTGTATCTGGGAGACTGCTTTCAAAGTGTGTAGTGGGGAGGGAAGAAAAGAGTTAAAGTTAGAATACCTCCAGAGAAAATGATTGCTTCATGTGAGAGCACTAGTCTTGCCAAAAGAGAAAAGAACCTTGGAAAAATACATGGTGTAGGGGATTATTCCTGCATGAGCAAATGCAGATCACGGGACTGGGATTTCTTGGTGGTTTTGAAGCCTCAGGTCCCCAAATTAAACCGGAACCCTAAATTTACTCTTTTCCCCATCCTTTAGCCTATAAATATCCTCCAGCTTTTATTTATTTTTTAGCAAAACAATTGGAGTTAAGACAGTTAAGGTTAAATGCAGTTTTAAGATCTGTTTTTCATAAAGTAGCCACCGTGAAAGATGGTGAATTTGAATGCTCCTGCAGTGCAGACAGGAACTTTTACTAGCGCTTGAGGTACTTTGCTAGCATGGAGAATAGTCCACATAGTTTGAGTTTTAACTTTATTTTGCGTCTGTCTTAAGCAGCTGTACTTCCAGCATGCTGATTCAATCTGTTTGTTTTTAGACGAATCATTTAACAGCTGCCATTTGGTTTGTGTGCCTCAAAACTTTGCATTAATTGTGATCTGTGTGGGTCTGTCGTGTGGCTGTTTTGAAAATACATTGATTTTTAGGATTTAGTCCATCTCTAGGTAAAGAGATAACAGGTGTGTTAAGGAATGACTTCATTTCTAAACGTGTCAATTTTGAAGATTTCTACCACATTCACGTTTTCTTAAAAGAAAATACGTTTTTAGGGTGGGCTAGAAGACATTCAATAACTTTTCTTCCATATTTTCTTCTTTTAAAACTTTTGGCATAGAGTTGGGCATGGTGGTACTTGGTTATAATCCCAGCAATTTAGGAGGTGGAGAGTGTGGGGAGTGGATTAAAGCCTGTGAGAACTGGACACAAGCAAGGTGAGATGCAATTAATTGCTTTTACCTGTAGAGATAAGCACAGCCCCTGGCCACGAAACAGGAAAAGGCAGAACAGCTGCGTCTCCTAAGCTGTGTTCAGAGAAGCAGGAACTCAGGTTTCTCCTGTTACAATGTCACGCCCCTCCCCGTGGTTCCACCCTGTTTGCTGCTATAAAAGACCCCTGGAGGAGGAAGAGGGGCCTTTGGGGTTTTGGACTTTTTGCTTGGCTTGTGGCTTTTTGCTTTGGGGGGGCTTTTACTTTGGGCCTTTTGGTGTGGGAAGCTTTTGGAAGGGGAAGTGCTAAAGAGGGGCTGATAGAAAGTCTGCACCGAGAACTTTAACATAGGCCTCAGAAAGCGAGGCTGAGAAAGAACTTCATACGTAGGCCTTAGGAAAGCTAAAGAAAAGTCAAAGAGAACATGGAACAGTGTACAGTGCGAGTCTAAGGACTGAGACCTTAAGATTATGTATATGCAGTTTTTAGGCAAAAATGTTAGCAAGACCCTGTCTCAAAAAACAAGGCGGGCGTGGTAGCACAGGCTTGAAATCCCAGCTATTTGGGAGGGGCAGGTAGGGTCAAGGTCTGAGACTGTATCTGAAAAATAAAGCAAAAAGGGATGGGAGTGTGTCTCAGGTGATAGAGCAATTGCCTAGCAAGCACGAGGACCTGAGTTCAATCCCTAAGCCTACCCCTTCTCCCACCAATGTTTTCCTTTTTTCTTTTGGCAGCCCTGGGGTTTGACTCAAGGCCTTATGCTTGCTAGGCAGGTGCTCTTAACCACTTGAGCCCACTCCATCAGCCACTTCTTTGTCATGAGTCTTTTTTTTTTTTTTTTTTGTGCTGCTTCTTGAAATCAGGGCCTCATGCTTGCTAGGCAGACACTCTACCAGTCCTTGAGTTTTTAATGAATCAAAAAACAAATCTGAAACTCCTGTGTAAGACGTCCTCTGGAGGATTGTAAAGGTGTGGGAAAATCAATGCAGCTGAGGACTGGGGACACACAGATCTTGGGTGGGGCTGATTAGCACTTCTGGGCCTGCTAGCAGCAGTTAAGAAAACTCCTTTCCCTGGACTCACAATTGCACAGTCACCCACAGCCTGTGAAGGACCCAGAGGCTTCTTTTGAAATGCTCAATGACTTGATGCTTTTAGAAATGAGTTTTAGCTTAAAAAGCATTTACTTCTCTCTGGTACCGGTAGCTCACGCCTGTAATCCTAGCTACTTGAGAGGCATAGATCAGGGGGATCACGGTTCAAAGCCAGGCACATAGTCCGCAAGATTCTCTCTTGAAAAAAACCTATCACAAAAAAGGGCTGGTGGAGTGACTTAAGGTGTAGGCTCTTAGTTCAAGACCCAGTACCACGGGGCAAGGGGCGGGGGCAGCATTTACTTCTTTTAGGGAAGTGCCTCCATATTTTTATCAAAAACATGTGCTATATCTAGAACTTGAACTGATAACTGTCTGGAGTAAAGGCTCCTGGGCAAAGTAGAGAATGAGAGAGCTGTAAGCTGTACCTGTTGCAGTGCCAAATTTAACCTACCCCAACGGAATTTATCTGTTGCCATCCTCCCAGTTCCTTCTTTCCAGAGTCTTCCCCCTTTCTGTAAGTGGTACCTTCCTATGCTCACCTGCCTACAAGCAGCTCGTCCTGTAGGTGCTTATAGGAACTCACGCTACATGATTTGTACTAATCCACACATTTGCTCATTTTTTCAGTCAATGGTTGTTGAGCAGAGATGGATGTAAGAACTGGTCTGATTTATCTAGACAGTATAGTTTTATAATAGCGGTGTCTTAGGGTCAGAGTTATCTGGCTGGTATTGACAGTGCCCTGTGATGGAATAGTTAAGATATAGAGTATGGTGGTCCTTGTTAGATGCCAACTCAACATTTTTTTTTTTTTTGCGGTGCTAGAGTTTGAACTCAGGGCCTAAACCTTGAGCTACTCCACCAACCCTATTTTGTGATGATTTTACTTGAGAATGGGGTCTTGTGAACTATTTGCCCGGGCTGGCTTTGAACCTTGATCCTCCTGATCTCTACCTCCTGAGTAGCTAGGATTATAGGCATGAGCCACTGGCATACCTGGCTCTTGATCCACTTTCTAACATTACTCCATTTTCGGGTTGAAACTCTGCCATTCCAAGAGGCTAGCCCCATTGCCCATGATAGAGGCAAGTTGTTCTTTTGGCAGTACTGGGGTTTGAACTCGGGGCCTCACACTTGTGCTAGGCAGGTGCTGTACCACATGAGCCACTGCGCCAGTCTGAGTCGGGTTCTTTTGTCATGATTATAATAGACATGGGATTACTAAGCAATCTGGCTGATTACCCTGGAGGGTAAGTTCAATGGCTGCTTCTAGGAAAGTTTTCTCCATTTAAAAGGTAGACAAAGGGAAAGGTGCTTCATCTTTGTTATTTGGCTTTCTTGACCTTGCCTGTAATAACAGTGAATTTTGCTTTTACCTTGATGAGCAGGAGAAGGGCACTAGTTTAAAG